GAACAAAAAGGATAGGTAAGAGTGAGAATAAAATTCAATTTTTCATGAATAAAGAGGGATAATACTTGAAAATGAAGTTACTTCTAATTTAAGATTTTAGAGAGTGTAATTCTAGCCTCCTTATATCTCTTATAGGCATCTTCGTCAGCTATCTTAGCAAATTGTTGATCAACATGTTATCAAAAGGAACTTCCTACAATTTGTTTTGATCGCTTGCCTCCAATCATTACAAAGAATTAGAATTTAGAGGAGAAGGGTGGAGTGTTAAAGAATTGGAGTAAAGAAAATAAGGGATTTTGTCTATTTAAATAATATCGATAAGATCATCCAGGGTAATAGTTTAATCGACTAGGACAATCAGGGATATTAAACTCATCTAGACAATCAGTCAAAAAAGGTCGGTCATATTGTCCAGGACAATACAATATCATCCATCATCGATGATAGTATGATATCATTCATAATGATTAGTCACATGCGATAATCCTGAGGAGTAGTCTTGTATGATTATTGACTAAGATGATCATACATGTTGAAAATATAGATTGTCCGGGATGATGGGCAAAGAAGGATTAGCCTAACACATTCAAATCATCCAACTATTTTTTCCACGTGGATCATCTAGGATGAAATGAGGATCATCCAGTATGATCACCAATGAATGACTCAATCCAACCGTTGGATGTGGTTTGATCAGAGAGATGTATTTTGTTCAGATTTTCCTAGAGCTTATTTTTGTGGACTCATTTCGTGCCTATTTTTTAATTATTTAACACACTTTATGTATCTTTGATTTATGATATATTTTGATGTATCTTGCAAATATTTGGCGATCATTGTGCATCTTTTCATTTTTGTTTTGGGCTCATTTTATGCCTCTTATCAATTTTTGCAAGATGACTTCTTTACAAAACCTTTAAAGAATCTTAGTTATGAGATTATCTTTCAAATATAAGAGAAGAAAACTTGCTCTCTAATACAAGGAAGAATAAACCATAAATAATAATCATATCCATATAATAAATGTAATAACTTGATCAAGAAATCTTGAAAGTGATTTAATGACTTTGAGCATTATTCATATGAGATATATTACTGTAAGAAAGAAATATCTCAATTTTAAAGTCCAACTTTTAATTTGAAATAGATTTTTCTTAAAAAAGAAAAATATATCACTAATGGAGTTAGAGGAAGAGAGATAATTATTAATGCTTCTTCCCTTAACTTATTTAGGGAAGTCAATCACTTCTTATAAATTTTCAAAATCAAAAGTAAGGAAAAAATCTCATTTAAGAAGTCAATACTAGTAGTGACCATTGATCTGACTTTTAAAAAATTTGAAGGGAAAAAATAATATAAAAAAATGAAAAATAAAAAATAGAAGTACATAAGCAGAAACACCCATACAAATAAAACAAAAAGAAAATATCAAAAAATAAAAAGTAGCAATTTCAAGCATTAATATCTATAACACCTAATATGGTTCTTAAAATGCTGAAGGTTTCAAAGGCCATTATTTTTGTAAAGATATCAGCAAGTTGGTTTTGAGTAGCTACATGGTGTAGCTCTATATCTCCTTTAGTAATATGATCCCTAATAAAGTGATGCCTTATGTCAATGTGTTTGGTCCTGGAGTATTGGATTAAGTTCTTGAAAATGTAGATAGCACTAGTGTTATCACAGAGGATTAAAATTATGCTTATAAGTAAACCTAAATCTAGAATATTTTTCTTTAACTAGAGGACTTAGGCCACACAACTTCTTAAGGTAATATACTCAGCTTCAACAATGGACAGGGCAACTGAGTTTTATTTTCCACTGGATCAGGAGACTAAGGACTGTCCTAGTAAATGACAAGTTCTAGATGTACTTTTTCAAAGGAGGTTATATTCCTTGGATACCAGATTTTCAAGTCAGGGGTTCCTAAGAAATAATTAAGAATTATCTTAACAATAGTTAAGTGGGACTCTTTTGGACTACCTTCAAATTTAGCACAGAGAAAAATACTAAACATAATATTAGTCCAGATAGCAGTCAAGTAAAGAACTAATCCAATTATCACTATGTATTTTTTTTATTAATAGATTTTCCATTTGAATCCTTATATAACTAAATAGTGGAACTCAAGGGAGTGTTTATTAGCTTATCTTTAACCATTACTTCTTAAGGATGTCCTTATTGTGTTTTGATTGATTAAGGAAAGTCCCATCATCCTTCTTCCTTGTGCTAAACTTCAAAAAGTAAGTCTGTTCTTCCATCATACTCATTTCAAATTTCTTACTCATTATTTTTTAGAATTCATTACATAGATTTTTATGAGAAGATCTAAATAGAATATCATTAATATAAATTTGAATAATTACTAATTCATCTTCTATATTTTTTAGAAATAGGGTGGTGTCTATGATCCCCTTAACAAAAGATCTTTCTAATAGGAATGTGCTTAGCCTTTCATACCATGCCCTGAGTACTTGTTTAAGTTTATGTAATATATTTTTTACTTTGAACACATGATTGGGAAATTATGAATTTTCAAAGCCTGGGGGTTGTTAATATACACATATTCCTTTATCACCCCATTTAGAAAGGCACTCTTAATATCCATTTGATACAGTTTGAATCCCTTAAAATAAGCTAAGTCTAATAGCACTCTAATAGCTTCTAATCTAGCTACAGGGGTAAAGGTCTCTTCAAAATCAACCCATTTATATTATTATACCCCATAGCCACCAATCTTACATTATTCCTTACTACTACTCTAGAATCATTAATTTTATTTTTAAAAACCTAATTTCTTCCAACCACACTCTGGTCCTTAGGTCTTCCAACTAGCTACCAAATATCATTCCTTATAAATTTATTCAGTTCTTCTTGCATTGCTAAGATCCATAATTCATCAAATAAGGCTTGATTTAGGTTGGTGGGTTCCATCATTGAAATGAAGGCAGAGTAGTTTACCTCTTTTATAAGTCCATGCCTAGTTCTAAAACCTTCAGATGGGTCTTTTAAGATCAGTTATTTATGATGACTCAAAAAATATCTCCATTATTTAGGAAATTATTTTTAGATTCTATCTTTTCCTCTATATTTATAAATTCCAGTCCTTGGGTAACTTCTAAAACCTCTTGTTCTTCTACTCTATACCGTCTAGAATTATCAGATTCATCAAACATAATATGGGTGGTCTCCTCAACTACCAGTATTCTTTTATTGAAGACACTATAGGATTTCCCAATACTTGAGTAACCTAAGAACTCTCCATCAGATCTTGGGTCAAATTTTCCTTGTTGAAACTTTTCATTATTCAGAATGAACACTTTACATCCAAAGACATAGAGGTGAAAAAGATTAGGTGTCTTACCGTTCAAAATTTCATAGGGTGTCTTGTTCAATTAGGATCTAACATTCACCCTATTGAGAACATAATAGACTGTATTCACCCCTTTTGCCCAAAAGTATTTTTGAAGTGAGTATTCAGCTAATATGGCTCTAGCAACTTCTATCAGGGTCTCATTCTTCCTTTCATCTACCCCATTTTGTTGAGGGGTCTTAGGAGCTAAAAAGTTATGGTATATTCCTTCTTCCTTAAAGAAAGATTCAAAACTTTCATTCTCAAATTCTCCACAATGTTATCTATGAATGGTTAAAATTTTATACCTAGCTTATTTTGAATCCAAGTGGAAAAAGACTTAAACTCTTCAAATGATTCACTTTTGTGAGATAGGAATCTAACCAAAGTAACCCTCAAATAATCATCAACAATCACCCCAAAAACTTTCCCACCTATGTTTGCAGTGCTTATAGGTATAAAGAGATCAATATGTAGGACTTTTAAGGGTTTACTAGTGTTAATGTCTTTGATTGAGTGGAAAGATGGTTTGACTTGTTTCCCTAATTGATATGCATCAAATAGGTGGTGATTTATGAACTCTAGTTTGGAAATTCCTCTCACTAAGTATTTTTGGGTGAGGTTCCCAAGGTTTTTTATGCTTACATGACATAATCTTCTATGTCATAGCCATGATTCATCAGCAACAGTTTTTAAGCAAAGAGTAGTGTCAGATTTAATGCAATTTAAATCAAGCATGTTTACATTGGATCCTTTTTCCCTATAATACAATATTGTTATTCAAGCTTATTATGCAGCTGGTAGATAGAAATTCTATGTTGAAGCCTTTATCACAAGGCTAATTGATGTTGAGTAAGTTATGTTTCAAGCTATCTACTAGTGAAACATTTTTAATGATGAAATTTTTAGAGTTAGTAATTATACATGACCCCACCACTCTCCAAGTGGTGTTATCTCCAAGTGTTACCTTACGTCCTGCACTAGCCTCCAGTGAAATAAATTGACTTACATCTCCAATCATATGCCTTGAACACCCACTTTCCAGGTACCACATGCTCTCATGAGGCCATCCATAAGAGCAACCCTACAAAATTATCAAATGTTAAATTTGGGAGCTCAAACATGTTTTGGTCCCATCTTATGGAAAGAAAAGTGAAATGCAAGCATGTTATACTGTGCATTTTGTACTTTAGGTTTCCAAACTAAATCTATTCTGTGGTGAAAAGTGCAAGTGTGGGAGTTATGTCCTAGCATGCCATAAGAAAAAACTTCTAACACCAGGAAAAGGATTTACTAATCTACTCTGGTTATGGTGCATCTTCCTAAGTTTGAATGATACATGTTAAACTGATGGATTATGAAACACAAGCATTGTGGGTGGTTTTTTATTTTCTTTGAAAGAAGTTAATTTAGCTTTTAAAAACTTATTTGTATTTTCAAGAATTAACTTTTCTATTTTCAAAACATGCTCCCTACTATATAAATCTTTTGCAAGAGTATTTATGTCCTTATATGCATTTTCTAATTAAACATGTAAATAATTTAATAAATCATGCTCATTTATTAGATCAATATACTTTTTCTTCAATTCATCAAATTCATCAAGTAAATTCATATGATTGCTATCTAAAGTGGAATGATCTTTTCTCAGGCACTCATGCTCTTTTTACAAAGTTAAAAATCAGTTTTAAGGCTAGCATGCAATTTCTTGAGCTTCCTATATGAAGAATGAATTTCTCTAAAAACTTCAAGTAATTGATCGTAAGTAAGCTCACATACCTCTTCCTTATTAGAGTGATCAATGTGTTCATCAACCATTAAATACATGTTTGTTACCTTCTTTTCAGCTTCTGTTTCAGAGGAGTATGATGCTGAGTCCACCCAGAAAGCCTTTTGGATCCTTTTCACATATTTCATGAACTTAAGATTTTTCTCACCCTTCTCCTTGCTTAGGTGAGCTTTCAGAGTAAGGTAATCAGACTTTGGATTCTCTATAAATAATATTAAAAGAAACTTTAGAATTTTTATGATTCTTACCCTTGTTCCATTTCTAATGATGCTTTTTTTACCTCAAGAAGCACTTAAATTGCCTTATTATTAAAGTATTGTCATCATTATCAGAACTAGAAGAATTAGTGTTAGAATTATTAGCCTTTAAGGCTACAGTTTTCTCCTTTTTATTCTCACCTACATCAAGCTGCCTTTGGTTCACTCCTTGCTCGTAAGTAATGAGTGAACCAAGTAAGTTATCGATTGAATAAACATTCAAATTCTTAGATTCAATAATGGCAGTAATTTTTACATTAAAGAAAGAAGGAAAACATCTTTAAATCTTATTAAATTGTTTTTAAAGTTTGTTAGTTCTCTACCTAAGGCATGTAGGGATGTAACAATTTGTGTAAACTTAACATACATTTAGAAATAGATTTGCTAGGTTTCATGCAAAAAAAGTTCATAGTAATGCAAGAGAATGTTCAGTCTAGATTCTTTAACTTCATTTGTACCTTCATATGTTATGCATAATATGTCCCAAATTTATTTTATAGTGGAACAAGTGGAAACACTTATATAGTCTTCAGATTTTAAGGCATAAAAAAATAGATCAAACATTTAGCATTCATTTGTGCTAGATCTCTATCTTCAATAGTCCATTCAGAAAAAAGAACTTCAGTTTTTATGCCATTAATAAATTTAAAATGTGCAGAATAACCTTCCTTAACTAACATCCACATATAATGATCAATGGATTGTAAAAAGGCGGACATGAGAGTTTTCCAAAAATTTAAAGATATATTATCAAAAAGAGGGGGTCTGTGATTTAATATCCTTCTGCATTGTTTCTCTTTTCAAAGTTTACCATGATTCAAAATTCAAAAGTTTTACGAAACTTGATTTTATGAATCCCGCTTAGACACCACTTACAAGTTAATGAGGGGTGTTAAACCCTGAAGAACTAGCCCGAGGCTAACAAAGATGGGTTGAAGTAGTCACATTTTCTTAAATCACTGGCATATAATGCTTTCATTTTTTGAGCTCTCTAGCGATTTAGTGGCGACTTAGGGTTTCTGTTCCTGACATCTGTTCCCTCAGCTGTTAACAAAATTTTTTTTCCTTTTCTTTCTCATTTTGTTTCCTTGGTTTTGGTTTCGGCTTCTTCTCATTGTGTTTTAAGGATTTTTTTTTGTTTTAGGAGATAACGACTCCGTAGTCATCTATCCCATCATTTACTTCTTTTCCTGAGGGATATTCCTAATCCTTCAAGGATGTTTTGGCTAGAACTTCAGCATCAGATGTTAAGATTCCTTTTGTGCAAACATCTTTTAAGGATTCTATGGCATTGATGCTTAACAATGTCATGGTTTCACAACTTGCATACCACTTTTGTTTAACTTTGGTTGGCAAGTTCCTACTCCGGTGACCTAATTTGGATGTGATTCAGAAAGTTTTTTGTTAATTTGAAACTCTCAAGTTATTTTCATATTATTTTGTTGGATCAGAGGGACTTTGTGATTCAACTCTCTAATGATCGTGATTATAGCTAGATTTTCTCGCAGAGTTCCTACTATATTCAAGCATGTTAGATGAGGTTGCTCAAATGGACCCCGAATTTTAAAGTTCATGAGGAATCCCCTATTGCTTCTGTGTGGATCTCATTTCCAAATTTAAGACTTCATTTCTTTAATTCTTAGATTCTTTTTTTCTTAGCTTTGATCTTTTGTAGGCCTTTGCAAACGGATCAAGCTATTACTTTGATTTCTCATCCATTTGTGGTGCATGTTTTAGTCAAATTGGAAGTATCTAAGAAACATCCTAATGAGATTTGCATTAGTTTGGAGTTGAATGGTTATTTTCAAAAAGTGGAGATTGAAGCTTTCCCAATTTTTATTCTCATTGTAAAATACATGGTCATGCTTTAAATGAATGTTATAAGTTACATCCTCATCTTTACAAGAAAAATGATTCAACCAAATAGTCCAACGGGAATGCTATTATTTTGATTCCTCATGATAGTGAGGATCCAAACTGTGGAAAGAGTGTTGCAATGATCTTAAACCTCCTGAAATTGAGGATCTTAAAATCCCTTCTATTTCGCACTTTGAACCACCTACCTCCATTATTGATAAACTTATTTAAATACATGGAGACAATATCAACTCTAGCTCTTCCTTATCTGTTGGTAGTGAAAATGTGGATGAGCAAATGATGGCAATTACTTCTAACCAAATTAATGTTATTTCACCTCTTATTAGTCCTTGTATTCTTAACAAAAATTTGCCAGATATGGATTTTATGGTGCTCAATAATAATTTTTCTAATTCTATAAATTATCTTGATGTTGTTAATGATCAGGAGGATGGACAACCTATTAGGATGGAAGGAGAAACTTGCACTGGCATGAGTGGTAAAGAAAATGTGGAGGATGGTAATATCCTTGAGGAGGGTGAAGTGCCTCAGGAGGTAAGGCAGGTGAATGCTCACAATGAGAGTAAATTTATTTCTAATCCTTATTCTCATAGTGGTCCTTTTATTGATATTGAGGATATGGATATTGTTACTAAATATTTTGCCAAAGATGATTATGATGCTAGTTTTACAAAGTTTTACAATAAGAGATGAAGGAAAAGCAAGAATTTCATATTGCAATCTCCTAGAACCACCCATTCGCAAACTAGTCATTAGTTATTATTTATTATGTTTAAATCTATGATTTAGAATGTTAGGGGTATTGGTTTCCCCTCCTCTAGGTTAAGAGTGAACAATTTATGTCGCATTTATAATATTTTTCACTCATTAGATCTCCTAAATTACTTAGTACTACTAGAATTTTGGGTTTTAAACATGCTATTTTGAATTTTGCCAATAAGATTTGGGTTTTTTGGAATTATCCTATTAAGATTGATGTTATTGGTGATTTTACTCAAGTTTTGCATTGTAGTATTGAAGTTTTAAACTTATATTGTTGTGCTTCATTTGTTTTTTGCTTCCTCTTCTCGCATTACTAGGAAAGTTTTGTGGGAGCATCTTACTAATTTTCACATTATCTGTAAGGTGTTCTAACTTGATGGTGGTGATTTTAATATTATCTCTAATCCTACTAAATGCATTGGGGGCTCTAGTCCTATCTATCATTTTATGGAGGATTTTAATAATATGATTATGGATTGTAATCTTGTTGACATTGGTTTTTCTTGTAACAAATTCACTTGGAATAGTTGTCATTTATGGTGACTGTTGGATTAGGTTCTTTTTAATGATATTTGGCTTAATTCTTTCAATTCTATTTCTCTTGAGAATCATAGCAGTACTCTTTCCAACCACTCTCATATGTTAATTGGTCTTAAGACCCGGCATATGACTTCTTTGCCTCAATTTAGATTTCAAAACATGGGGTTGCTTCATGAGTCTTTTATAGATGTGGTTTAGGATAATTGACAAGCTCCCTTGCATCCGGATAACACTTCTTTTGGTATGAAAAGATTTTGGTTTAAACTTAAAAGGCTTAAGCAAGTTCTCAATTGGTGGGATCATAATGTTTTTAAAAATTTCTTCACTAACATTTTGAATCTTAAAGATAAAGTGAACACTATTGAGATTAACTATCAATTGTCTCCTTCTGATGATAATTTTTCTTTATTGAAGGATGCAAAAATTTGTCTTTTTAAATTATAAGCCCAGGAGGAAGCCTTCTGGAAAAAACAAAAGTGGTTGCGAAGCACCTTGTTGAAGGTGACAATAAAACTAAATATTTTCATGCTTTGGTTAAGAGAAAACATGCCAAAAACTTCATCCATAAAATCAATTATGATGATGGTTCTGTTAGTGAGGATGCTAAGAAAATTGCTAATTTACCCGTGCAACATTTTCAAAGGTGTTTCAACAAGGATTTTTCTATTGTTCACATTGGTAACCCTCCCTTTCTCCCTAGCCTCATCTCTTAAGAGGATAATTATTCCCTATCTAAATCTCCTTCTTTGGAGGAAGTTAGAGAGATTGTTCATAGCATGAATGGGGATTCTATGGTGGTGCCTGATGGATCTACTACTATATTTTTCCATAAATCTTGTCATATTATTAGTAGTGATCTTTATTTAACTATTTTTGATTTTTTTGTTGGTAAAACTATTCCTAAATTTTTTGCCTCTACTTCTATTATTCTTATTCCAAAAAGTATTTTTGTTAGCAATTGGAATGATTTCAAACCTATTAGTTTGTGTACCTTTTTAAATAAGCTCCTTTCAAAAATTATTATGAGTCCTTTAATTCCTATTCTTCTTAAAAAATTTCCTCCTTCTCAAATGGGTTTTGTCAAGGGGAGAGTCATTGCTGATAATATTTTGTTGGCCTAAGAATTTGTTAATGATTTGAATGTTAGGGTAAGAGGTGGAAACATGATCATGAAGCTAATATTTCGAAGGCTTATGACAATCTAGATTAGAACTTTCTTTGAAAGGTTTTACATTTGTTTGGTTTTAATTCCATCTTTATTAATCTTATCAAAAACTACATTGTGGGGCCTTATTTTTCTATTATTGTGAATGGTAAAAGTTATAGTCTTTTTAAATCCTCTCATGGTCTTAGGCAGGGAGATCCTATTTTTCCTACTTTGTTCATCATTATTATTGAGTATTTATCTAGAGGTTTCATCAACCTTTTTTACAAGCACCCTAGAATGTATTTTAGAGGTATAGGGGGTTTTCCTATTTCTCACTTATGTTTTGCTGATGATTTTATTATTTTCATGAATGCTTCTGTAAATAGACTTATGAAGTTTTTTCATAATATTGATACTATTAGTGGGCTTTCTCTGAATAAGAACAAGAATTATTTTATTACTTCAAACAAAGTGCCTAATAATCATAATTTTGCTATTAAAGGTATGGCTTGTTTTGTGCAAGGTAAATTGCCCATTAAATATCTTGAGGTTCCTATCTTTAAAGGTAGAAAAAAGTCTTTTCTATTTGATGATCTAATTACTTCTATTGAGAACAAACTTTTGTCTTGGCATGCTAATTTTTTGAGTTTTGGTGGTAGATTAGTTCTGATTTATAGTTTCCAAACTTCTCAACCCACCCAGGCAGTTTGTAATAGAATTGATAGACTTTTTAACAAATTTTTTTGTATAGGTGTTTATAGCCATACAAAAGTTTTTGGACTTCTTGGCACAAGTGTTATGGCATTTTGGATGAGTGTGGCTTGGAGTGTAAGAGCTTGCTTGATTTGGCCAATGCTTTTTTGTTCAAGTTATGGTACAAATTTCATGCTAAAGTCAGCCTTTGGGCTAAGTTTATGTTTGCTAAGTATTGTGTGAGTAGGCACCACTATCTGTTATTTTAATAAAAGTGATTCCAATGTGTGGTAGAAACTTTGCACAGTTAAGAGGATGGTTGAACCTCATCTCTCCTGGGGGCTTGGAGGTGGGAACATTTTCTTTTAGCAAGATCACTGGTTGGGGGGTCAATCCATTGATGTCATTATGAACACTTCTACTGTGGCGGTTAAAGTGAACAATTTTATTTTTGATAACTGTTGGGATTATGATAAACTTGCCAATGTTATTTCAAATTTTATCATTCAAAAAATTTTTAATCTTCCTCTGAACACTGATTATAATGATTTATTATTATGCAACTTGTCCAAAGATGGGAGTTTTAGATTAAAGGATGCTTGGAAATGCTTTTAGATCTACGAATGATGCTACTAATATTTATTATTTGATTTGGCATAAAAGTATTCCTTCCATTTGACTATTTTCATTTGGAGAATTTTGCACAAGTTCATTCCTACTGATAATAACCTAATTAATAAAGGATTTACTTTAACTTCCAAGTTCCAATGTTGTTATCATGTGGAGAATATGCATCATGGTTTTATTTCATGTCCTTTTGTAGTTAAAATTTGGACTTATTTTGATGATATTTTCAAATTAAATAGTTTCAGTACTAAATTATCTATTAAAATTTTGCTTAACTCTTGGTTTATAAATTCTAAAGGCCATATAAAAAAATGTGATATGCCCCTTTCTTTTGTGGTATTTATGGTTTGATATAAACAATTCTATTTTTAATGGTATGCGTATGAACCATCATAGGATTATTAAAAATGTGAAAGATAAGATGCTTGGTCTTTTTTCTATCAATCTCCTTTAAGTTAAGATTTTTAAGAGTTATTTTCATGCTAGTGATGAATTTCATATCAAAGTGGAGGAGAATTATCATTCTTCATAACCTAGCTCAAACCACCTAATAATTCTTTTAAATTGAATGTTGATGGTGTTTTTATTAGTTCTAAACCAGTTTTGGTGGGGTTATTAGAGATAGTCTTGGTAATCTTTTTAATGCTTTTGCAGGCCCTGTTCCGAGTTGTGATGAGAACCTTGCTATTCTCTTGGCTATTCTTTGTGGGATTTGAAAGTCTTTCTTTGGGCATTACTAAAATTGGCATTGAAGTTATTTCTAATTATAGTATTCAAAGTTTAAATATTGGTGAGGATACAGTTTGTAAATTTTGGCACTTTTTATTTAGTGAGAAATATTAAACATCTGCTGGTCTTTATGGATTACACTTTCTCTACTGTGCTTACGGTGGGGAATATTTTTGTTGAGTGGCTTGCAAACTTAGGGTGTGGTTTAGATGCTATACTGAGCTTTCTATTTCTAATATTCATGGTCATTTAAAAGGTCTTTTAATATTGGATAAAACTGGACTTCCCTATGTTAGAACTTAACATTTTGGCTCTGTTTTGTTTTGTTTTGGAGGTTCTTTCTATTTAGTTGCCCTTGGTTTTGGTGTTGTTCTTCTGTCTTTGGTGTTCTGTCATTATTGAGTGTTATTTGGCTATAGGCTGGAGTTGTGATTATGCTAGTTTGTATGTTGATGGTTTGCCCATTTGTTTCTCTCCTACCTTTAATTACTGGTCTGTGTATTGGTCGTGTTGTTTGGCTGGGGTTAACTTTGTGGGTTTTGTTGTGATATGGGACAATAATTATTTTCTCTATGTTGGTGATGGATTGAAATTTTTCTGCTATGATGCTGGAGCTAATTCTTTTAGTCTTATATTATTTTTGGGATATAGTTTGAGCCTTGTAATTGGGATTGCTGGTGGCTTATCTGAATTTTATTTTGTTTATTCTACTAGATTGCTACCCCATCGAGGGAAAATTTTGCTATTTGGTTGGCTTTTCTATGTCCCATTTTTGGCTTCCCCTATTTTTAATTGTCTGTGTTGTTTATCCTACTATGGCTCAGTTATTTTGGAGGTAGGATTGAGTGAAAATTGGTCTACCCTAGTGATGGTTGGGAGTTTTGTGACTTCCTGAGCTCTTTTAGCCTATATCCCTAGTTGGTTCTTAACTGCTGGATTGGTGGTTGTGGGAAGCTTGTCATCATGCTCCTTGGGTATATACTGATTGCTGCCATTATTAGTTTTCCATTCCTGAGTACTTTGGTTTCCTTCTGCTGTGGCTTTGGTTTAACTTTATTGATTATGGATTTATTATTTATATCTTTTCGTCTGAGTTATTTAACTATTTTAGCTACTTGTGTGTTCATTATGGTGGATATTTTGTTAGTTTTCATATCTTTATATTATACATTCAAATAATCCATTGATGATCCTTTAGTGAGATTTTCCTACACTGGTAATATCCTATTTTATTCCAATATTATCTATATTATGTTAATTGTATTTTTAGTGTCCTTATAGGCCTTTGTTATAAGTTTTTGGAGACTAGTGCTCGTTTTATGTAATTTTTTTTTGGCTGATGAAGCTGAGCTGGTTGCTGATTCTAGTGCCTCTTCATTTTTTGTTTTTAGATTATTATTAGG